AGTGTTGAGGAACACGTTCTACAGGGTAAGCAGTATCTGTGTAGGGAGTCTTATGTGCACAAGGCCTAATATTCAGAAGCAGTGTGATGAATGTAGACATTATTCATGATTGCTAAATAGCGCCCAAGTAATCACAAACACTCATGGGCATCAGAAGAGCTCTCACAGCTCGTAGATACTTTTAAACCCTATTTCCACCTTTTCTGAGGTATTTCTTTTAAAACACATGCCAGCAATGTACACAAAGTCTACATGAAGCAGGCATATGCAGTAGCTTTATATGAACACAGGAACTTACCGTTTTTGTCCTCTTCATCGCCTCTTTCCTTTTTTTTTTAAATGTGCGCTTCTGTGCTTTGGAAGCAATCTGTGCATATTAAAACTCTCTCTGAGATATCTCCGCCTAATAATTAGTATTCATAGTGCCAACTCGCCATGGGCAGTGTACTGTAACCTGGAAAGGCAGAGCTGGTGTGCAGTGATTTTGTTAAAATGACTCACACGGAGGGGGACAGATGCTTTACAATCTGACCCCAGTGTCAGACTGAGTTTCCTGTGGAGAAAAGTTTCAATTTGTAGGACTTGGGCACACTAAAAAGTCCATAAAAATTTAAGAAAGCCCTCAATGCGAGTCATGAAAGCGTACACACCTATATATCATCACTGCACCTCTACATCACCACAATAAATACTAATCACTTACAAAAGGTGGACATAGGCTTTAAGTATATTGGAAACTATCTGCAACTGATTCTGGATTATATACCTCCCCTGCAGAAAAGGTCAGTATTCCTTAATAACACATTCACATTCAGTACAGGTACATGTAAATTGCAGAGGTCATTCTGATTGTGCAGAGATGGCAAACATCTCATCACCCACCATACTTGATGAGAGATTTGCCCATTGGTTTATACACAGACTTTCCTTGTATCTAAATCCAGGATCACAAATGTGATTAGTTGCAGCTTACCCGTCCTTAGATGTGGTGGCTGCTTTCGTTTTATTTTTTTTCAGGCTTTTTTTTCCTTTAGTATTACCTGTTGAAGTCTATGAAATTATTCCACACTGTAGAATATAATGTGATGTTTAGTAGGCGCTCCATTATTCAACAAGCACTCATTGACAGGAGACGAGTAATCCATGCAAGGCAGACTCTACTTCCAACCTCCAAGTCGCTTAAGGTATTTTTGGATGTAGCATCCAGTGTAGAAGCTCTGAATATAAAGGATGACTAGAAGGGTCAGAGTCTACAAGAGAGGGAACCCTACCCAGCTAATTGTGGGTACCATCTAGTCCATAACATGCTTAGAATGCTAAGTGATAACATTCAGTGCAGGTAGAGAGACAGAGAGCTGTGCTGTGTGGTTGTCAGCTACCCCCATGTTCCTGAGTTCCTGTGTTCTGATCTGGTTATCCATTACCCATCTGGCTTGTCTTGACCTCTCCCTGCTCTTCTGTGTTCCCGAAACCCCGGCTTGCTTCTGACCATCGTTTCTGCCTGATGCCTTGTACTTCTCTGACCGTGCATTGCTGACCTCGGCCTGTTCCTGACTACGCTCCTAGCCTTCAACTGGTACCTCGTTGCCTACCTGTTAATGACTCAACCTGCTATGACTACGGACAGCCTTAAGACCCGCTCCTCAAAGTGCCTCTCTGATGTGCCTGCACCTTGCCAAGGGTATTTCCCGCATCGCAGAGACTGTTACCTGGCAGAATTATCTTCATCCAGCATTTGTGCCCCTCTGCATCCCTACACTTCTGTCCCCCATTAAGGCGCTCTGGGACCAGAGTTGAGAGGGAGGCTGCCCTCTTCAAATCAGACTTCCCAAAGGTACATGACACTGTTACAGTATATTAAACAGACCAATGTGTGGCAAATAAGAGAAGTTAATTGTCAGGGTTTACATAGACTTAAACCTACTATATATGATTACTACAAAAGACATTTTGTAATTTAATGTTATTATAAATTTCCATTTCAGTTTGCATATGGTGCAATTTTCTAAAATTGTCAAAAAAATTAAAAGGGCATGTCATTGTATTATTGCAACTTAAAAGAATTCTGTACACAGTGATGGCTTTCCCTTGTTCTTATTATGCCAGTGAATAAAACCACAGCACAGGCACCAGACATCCAACTCATGGAAGTGTTCTACTTGCTAAAGATGTTTCAGCCAGTGGAGATCCAGGAAACAATTGGTACCAGTGGTGCAGTTTCCAGGAGGTGTAAGTATTAACCATTTGCTTTGCATAAAGGACTTTCTTTTGCAGATGTAAAATCAGAATCACTTTATTAAGGTTAATCAGGACTTGCACTGTTGTAGGTTCTTGTTATCATACACAGAGATCTTCCAACAAGCTGTATATGTTTTTAGTGGTCACTCCAAAAAAGTAAAGTCCTTTCATCCTGCATATGCTGTGTTGGAATATCTTCATGGTGGCCTCACACAAAGAAAGTTTCATACAATTTCAACAGTTTAAAAAAATGGATGAAAGCAACCTATGACCTATTAACACTGTGAAATGTGTGGTGGCGTTTTATCACCTGACCTATTTGGCTGATTTCGCAATAGAAAGCTAATTGTAAGTACTTACATTCAATTACCTACTTAAACTATCCGTCCAACTTATATCAAAACAGGGAGGCCCTTGCACTGCATAGTTGTTGGTAGACCAAAATAAGATTGTGCAATCAGATTGTAACGCATTGTTAGCTTTGAGGGATAAATGTTCCATGAGTTCTCGGCCGTGTGACAATATGAGCAACCACAAGCAGTTCTCTCAGTGATCATTATTCTTCTTGGACAGTTAACATACGTATCACCACCATCAAAGTCACCAACTGAACCTTGTGGTCAGACATGACTTAGCCAACATCCCCTACACATAAACAAGGCTTTTAATACAAGCACTTTAGGAGAATGAATGGAGCTGATAAAGAACAAAACTTTTATACTAACAATTTATTATTTTCTGGTAGGAACTGTTTACAGCTTTAGCAACAGACCCAGTTTCAGTTGACTCCATTCTTGGACCTTGCCGCAGTCTGCTGCCTTGTACTGTGCCCAGCTACATGGGAGATTTGGCAGGCATTATCCACGTGAATCAAAGCCTGAGTAAAAGATATTCTGTAGGAATACAATGAAGGACAAAAGCAGAAGGAGCATAAAAATCACAAGCAGTTCTATTACCTGTATAAAGATGAGATTGACATGCTCTACATTAAACCAATAACTGACCGATCAATGAGTCTACCTACAAGAATGTTTAAAAGAATCGAATGACCAAGGAAATTAATAGAATGGTTTGTTAGGGTGATTTTCAATTCTATGAAATAAAATCCCTTCAGGAGGAAGCTGTAATGGATATTGGGGTCAATTTTAACTTTATTTTTGTTTTAAGTACTTAAATGAGTTATATCCACCTAACTGTGGCTTTAGTGTTGCCCCCATGCTCTTTACTGAATACTGTTTGGCAGATTCATAACAGCCCAGTGGTACTCTTTCTATTTATAAAGCAGTAAATGTTACATTCACCAAACATTCTCTGGTGGAGAATCAATTATTGTAATTTAACATACATAGACCTGGTAGGGGGCTTCCGGTTGCGGCGCTGGATGGAATAGCGGTGTATACCGGAGCTCCGCTCCCCGCCACATCCATCGCATACATATAGCGTACATACCGCAGCTAAACCGCGTCCCACAAGGCTTCTGGATCGCCTCTCTACACCCCACAGGTCATGGACAAATTCGTTGCAGGTTCGCAGCCGGTCCTCCGCACTCTCTCCATTTCGCCCGGCCCGACGATCACACAGCCCGAATCAGCGGCCATGAATGACAAAGCCCTCGATGCTGCAGAGGCACTGGGTGAGTCTGAAACAACATCTCCCCATGTCCCCATTGACTATCAGCAACTGGCAGCTACTGTTGTTTCTCATTTGAGGTCAGAAGTAGGCACCATCTTTGCAGAATCCCTGAAACTACATATGGGGCCTATCACGGCGGCCTTGGAGGCACAGACATCTAGGATGCAGGCCCTAGAGATTCGTGTTAGTGACCTGGAGGATCATGCCACTGGATCTGCTAGATCTTACGCTGACGACAAAAAAATGCTTCAGTACCTGCAAGACAAGGTCGATGACCTAGAAAACAGATCCCGCAGAAACAATCTTAGGATTATTTGGTTCCCTGAATCCATTCTGCCTAATAATCTCCAGCGCTTCTGTTCTTCTGTTATCCCGTGAGCTATGGGCATTAGGTCTGCCTGTGCAGTGGAAAGGGCCCACAGAATAGACCCCCCCCCCCCCCAAAGATCAGGAAAGGCCCAGGTCAGTCATAGTCAGATACCTGGACGACTCGGATAAGCACCATATTCTGCAAACCTACAGGAGGCAACGCCAACTGGTAGCGGGTGGCCACAAATTACTACTTTTTGCGGACTATTCTGCAGAGCTATCGAAACTGCGCCGCTCTTTCCACGAGGTATGCCAAACCCTAGTGCACAAACGGATCAAGTTTGTTTTGGCTTATCCGGCTATCCTGCGCCTATCAGACCCCGATGGCAATCAAATCCGTTTCACATCTGCCACTCAGGCTAAGGGGTATGTGGACAGCCACTTGTCCGCTCCTACTACGGTGCAGCCCAACTCCCCACTTAAGAGTCCACCCCGGAAGAAAAAGGCCTGAATCTGTGAGCTGCCTCACAATCCATCTATCTGCATTAAGTGGCCCAGCTGCATGGGCGTACACATGGCATATGTTTGACGTGTGTTATTGAACTTATAACAGTTTTTATTTGTTCTCCTTCTGTTGTACATGTTACGAGACTCTGTTCAAAAGTGGCGGGGCTGAGCAACCGGAAGTTGCCAACCCCGAGATCACCTTGGCTCTCCGAGGGGCCTACCTTCCACCCAGCATTGATGGCCAGACCATCGTACACCACCATCCGGAAAAAAGGAAGTTCCTGACAGGTATATGTTCCTACCTGAATGCTAACGTACTTGTTCTGCTTTTTGTTCTTACTGTCTCTGCTCTGATAGCCAAGAGCGGACGCACCTATCCAGCCATGTGGATGAAGACCTCTTTTGCCAATCTCTTCGACATCCTAGTGACTAATGGTTCACTCCTATCATCACAAGGTATCGTAGGTCCTGTGACTCTGAGCTGTTCCTGGAGCACTGGGACACAAGTAACGACTCAACTGTATTTCTTCTTGGTCTATTATGACCATACTACCATTCAACCACCTCGGGCACTATGGGAACCGCCTTAAAAGTTTCCTCCTGGAATGTCAAAGGACTCAGGACACCACAAAAGAGCAGACAGGTATTACGTCACCTTAAAAAACACAAGGTGGATATTGCACTGTTACAAGAAACCCATCTACATCGAGATGACATAGCCCCCCTTAAGCAAATGTGGGTGGGAACAGCGGTGGGGGCACCCTCAGTGGGCCGATCCGCGGGGACGGCTATTCTTATTAGTAAAAACTTATCTCATTCTTTACTCTCCCAACAACACGACAAGGAGGGGGGCCGGTGGTCACACATTACTATTCAGGTTGGGCAGGCTACGTTTAAAATCTGGAATATTTATGGCCCCAATATGGACAATAAGCCTTTTTTTTGACAAGTTGTTGTCTCGACAATCCCCCTCTGTCCCTGATACATATGTCCTACTTGGGGGAGACTTTAACGCCGTCCCGACTACCCTAGAAGATCCTTCCTGGACCAAAGGGTGCCCCTCTAAAGCCAACCTTGCGCAAGACCAAAATTTCTCAGCACTGATCCAAAGGGTGGATTTATAGATATTTGGCGATATCTTCACCCTCTGACTCGAGAATTTACCCATTTCTCCCATGTTCATGATTCTATCTCACGCCTGGACTTGTTTCTTGTGTCACCCAACCTGGTATCAAAGGTATCCTCAGGGACCAAAGAAGACATGGTCATATCAGACCATTCACCGGTTCAGCTATGTTGTCCTAGATTGTTCACTTCTCCAAACTCTTCACCCTTTTTTTTAATAGACCCCTAAATATTTTATTTCAGTTGGTTGATACGATATACAGCTTTGTTTATTCTCATTTGGTTTATTCAATAAACACAACAGAGTATAAATATAACAAAATTACATGTTCTTTGACTTGTAGATGGAGCCTAGTGAAATATATATTTGTTCCTTAAAATGAATAAGGCACAGAATATATAAGGTAATTACATTGGCCAAACTCAGACCAACCCAGGGCAAATCCACACAGAATGTTGCCACTTTGCCAACTGTCCATCCTAGTTTGCCTTGCTCTGTTTACTTGCTTTTTATAAAAACATTTAAAGGACAAAAAAAGAAAAAAGCATGCCTCGTCACCCAAGAATATACCACCACAAACACAGCAAGAAGACGGTGTCCATACAGAGGTTTTGAAATCCCAGGGTGTTTCATTATAACCTCAGTCAACTGTAAAAGGGTCCTGTGCATCCTTTACTTAAAGCCAAGGTTAAAAGGAGATGTATGAGGTGAGTGATTTTCATTCATCCTCATAGTTCAAGCCAACGTGTGACAAAGAAACTGTCACACATCGGCTCTGAAGATGGGGAAGTGAGCGAACACATAACATCGCTCGCTCACTTCCCAATCATCTCCCTGCAGAGAGTGGTGACTGCCAGTCACCGCTCCCCACAGGGATTCCCCCGCTCCTATCCTCCAGCCCCGAGTGGAGGAACGGATGGGGTGGGGGCGAGCACACGGCCACGCTGTCTCCGACACACACTGGGGTGTTTTTCTGCAGCCTCCCCCACCAGAAAACAGTTGAAGACCAGCCAGAAGAGGTGAAGGTAAGTAAATACCTAAAATGATTATTATTTGTAGCCCAATTGATGGACATGCTGTATAAAGTACTGCTGGTATTAGTAGTGCTCTATAGCAGATGCCATTCAGCATTGCAGCAATGCAAAATGGCACCTGCTATAGAGGACTACAAATCTCAGCAGTACTTTATACAGCAATGCAATTTTGTTCTATTTTTCCAACTTTATTTTTTTGGTGGTTTCTTCAGGGCATGTGGATTTGTGGATTGGGGGTT